GTTGTTAATTGAATGTTGCCCCATTTTACTGGCCTTTCTTACCACAGTTGTTAAGTGAATCACTGCACTTGTTCAATTGGGAACACGATTGTTAAGTGAATCTAGTTTCCCTGTTGCCTTTGCTTGCCGGAAGGGTCGCAAACGGGGATCGCGTGACCCCCGCGGGACACTGATGACTGTCATAAATGTGAATCAGTTGTCAAGCATCTGAATACGTGAACACGGGAACGCTGCAATGGTCATAAGTGTGAAAAATGGTCATAAGCCTCTTTTTTCAGTGCCGTTGTAACTTTGAATGTCCACTAAGCAAACTGTTCTAAGTTGTAATCAAGGAGAGGAGCAACCTAAAACTAAGGAGGAATTTCCTGTCAGGGAGAACAATTAACCAGTGGAACAGCTTGCCACCAGAATTTCTGGGTGTTCCAACACTGGAAGTTTTTAAGAAGAGATTGGACAACTATTTGTCTGAAATGCTATATGCAGGGGTGAAATCCAGCAGGTTCTGACAAGCTCTGAAGAACTGGTAGCGGAAATTTTGAGTAGTTCGGAGAACCGGCAAATACCACCTCTGGCTGGCCCCAGGAGTGGGGTGGGAATGGGGATTTTGCAATATACTTCCTCTGCCACGCCCACAAAGCCATGCCCACAAAGCCATACCACGCCCACAGAACCGGTAGTAAAAAAATTTGGATCTCACCACTGGTATACAGTCTCTTGGGGTTGGACTAGAAGACCTCCAAGCTCCCTTCCAACTCTATTATTCTGTTAAGCAACTCTGGGAGGCTTATGAACATATAATGTGAAATATAACTCCTGGTTGGCAGGCAGACAGAGCCAGATTTAAACCTGGATAAGCAATCAGCTCTCAGATCTCGGAAAACTACTCCGGATTAAGCTAGAATTAGATAGATTTGCATTTAATGCCCTCGGCCTGGAAAAGGGTCAACGTGAGCCATTTTGTGTCTTCTCCTGCCAAATGCCTAAGACGGCATCAAGCTGGCTTCCTGTCTGAACCTTCTACATCAGGACGAACCTTGGATGCATCTACGGGTAGTCCTCGACTTATGACCGCCTGTGTGCTGAAGCGATGTGGACGTTAAGCGAGCCATGACAGATTTTCCAAGCTTGTTTGGCACCGTCCTTAAGCAAAGTGACTTCTGACTGCCAGTTGGTGTTCATGGATGTCTTCAGCCTGTTTGTCTTACCTGTTAGTGGCTCTTACCTTGTATATTGTACCTGAGTCCCGTCTTTCCTTAAATAAATCTGTACGAGAGAAAAACCTATTCCCAGAACGCACCCAAACATGCGTAATTGAAATAATGTTTACAATATGCATATAAGAAAAATGCACTAATTTATCCGGAAACCAGATAGCAGTAACTATGAGAGGGATTGTTGGAGTTTTATTGGACAACCAATTAAACATGAAGAAGAATAGAATAGAATAGAATTCTTTATTGGCCAAGAGCCTTGGTGGCGCAGCAGACTAAAGCGCTGTTAAGTAGCACCAGCTGCCTGCAATTACCGCAAGTTCAAATCTCACCTGGCTCAAGGTTGACTCAGCCTTCCATCCTTCCGAGGTAGGTAAAATGAGGACCCGGATTGTGGGGGCAATAAGTTGACTTTGTATAAAAAAGAACACCGCTTAGGGGGGCCCGAAAGCCCTACTAAGCAGGTATATATAAAAGTATGAAGGCTATTGCTTAACGCATTGTAAGCCGCCCTGAGTCTCCGGAGAAGGGCGGCGTATAAATCGAACCAATAAATAAATAAATAAATAATGTGATTGGACACACAAGGAATTTGTCTTTGGTGCATACGCTCTCGGAGTACATAAAAGAAAAGATACATTCGTCAAAAATCATAAGGTACAACACTTAATGATAGTCATAGGGAAACAGTCAATATAAATCTTAAGGATACCAGCAACAAAGTTATAGTCATACGGTCATAAGTGGGAGGAGATGGGTGATAGGAATGATGAGAAAATTAATAGTAATGCAGACTTATGAGCCTAACAGTGTGCGGTGGCAACCAAAAACCCCAGTGCAATTCTATTTTAATGCATTAACAGAGGTCAAGGGAGGTACTAATACTATTCTATAAAGCCTTAGTAAGATCACACCTACAGTACTGCGTCCAGTTTTGGTCACCACACTATAAAAAAGATGTTGAGACTCTAGAAAGAGTGCAGAGAAGAGCAACCAGGATGATGAGGGGACTGGAGACTAAAACATAGGAAGAATGGTTGGAGGAACTGGGCATGGCTAGTCTAGTGAAGAGAAGGACCAGGGGAGACATGAGAGCAGTTTTCCAATATTTGAGGGGCTGCCACAGAGAGGAGGTGGTCAACCTATTTTCCAAAGCACCCAAAGGCCAGACAAGGAATCATGGATGGAAACTGATCAAGGAGAGTTTCAACCTAGAAATAAGGAGAAATTTTCTGACAGTGAGAGCGATCAACCCATGGAACAGAAGTTGCCTTCGGAAGTTGTGGGAGCTTCATCACTGGAGGCTTTCAAGAAGAGACTGGACTGCCATTTGTCAGAAATGGTGTAGGGTCTCCTGCTTGGGTGAGGGCAGTGGTGGGTTGCCCCCGGTTCAGACTGGTTCGCAAGAACCAGTAGTAAAACCAGCGGGAGGCTCCGCCCACCGACCTGGATGTCAACAGGAAGCTTCTGCGTGGCCCCGTTGCGAACCTGTAGTAAAGGTAAGTAGAACCCATCCCTGGGTGAGGGGTTTGACTAGATGACCTACAAGGTCCCTTCCAACTCTGTTAATCTGACTACAAGAAACCATGGATGGAAGTGAATCAAGGAGAGAAGCAACCTGGAATTAAGGAGAAACATTGAGGACAATTAACCAGTGGAACAGCTTGCCACCAGAAGTTGTGGGAGCTTCATCCCTGGAAGCTTTCAAGAAGGGACTGGCCTGCCATTGGTCAGAAATGGTTTGAGGTCTCCTGGTTGGGCGGGGGGTTGGACTAGATGACCTACAAGGTCCCTGCCAACTCTGTTAATTTGTTAAATCTGTTAATAGATACGTGCTAGATTAGAAAGTGGAAAATGGAAGAAATTTTCTTTCTGCTGCCTCTGATTTTACTAAAAGAATTGTCGGATTGGATCGGCAATCCGGCTTCTCTTCATCTTAAAAGGCACGAAGGGAGCCATGGGAGGGGCTCAGCTTGGGTTGTGTGAAAAGGAGTTGGGGGTCCTTGAGAAAAGCATTAAACCAGAGTTAACTTGTGGGCAATGACTCTCTTGGGGTACACGGACAGGAGTCCAGTGTCCAGATCTTTGACCCTCTTGGTCAAACCTCCTTCTGGATTTCTGCGCTCACTTCTCATTCAGTGACAGATAGTGGGTAGTCCTCCAATTACGACCACAATTGAGCCCAAAATTCCTATCACCAAGCGAGACAGTCGTTAAGTGAGTTTTTGCTCCATTTTATGATCATTCTGGCTACGGTTGTTAAGTGAATCACTGCTGTTGTTAAGTTAGTCACACGGTTGATAAGCGAATCGGGCTTCCCCATGGACTTTGCTGATCGCAAGGTCGCAAAAGCAGATCCCGGGACAGTGTAACTATCATAAAAACAGGTAGTCCTCAACTTACGACCACAATTGAGCCCAAAAGTTACGTTGCTAAGGGAGAGATTTGTTAAATGAGTATTTGCCCTGTTTTACAACTTTTTTTTTTGGGCCACATTTGTTAAAACGAGTCACTGTACTTATTCAATTAGTCCCACGGTTGTTAAGTGAATCTGATTTCCCCGTTGTCAGAAGGTCGTAAAAGGGGGATCACATGACTCTGGGACACTGTCGTCAAGCATCCGAATATAAATCACGTGAACACGGGGATACTACAACTGTCGTAAGTGTGAGAAACGGTCCCAAGTCCCGTGCTGTTGTAACTTCGAATGGTCACTAAACGAACGGTCGTAAGTCGAGGACCACCTGCATGAACCAAGCATCCGAATTTTGTCCCAAGTCAATTTTTTCCCCAGTGCACTTGTAAGTTCAGTCCGTCGCTAGACAAATGGTTGTAAGAAAAGGACTGTCGGTATTTTGTGTTCTTATTTTCCAGGCTGCATTTTATCAACGCGCCGTAGCGAGTTTGTTTGTTTTTCGACAGCACGACAAATAAAACGGAGACACCGTTTCATTTTGCACAGCGAGTTTGATTCTGGCGTGATCAGAAATAGGAGAATAAATAAAATTTCTGTAGCGCTCAATTCTTTTCATCACGCAGGGCACTTTAAATCATGATCGTTCAAGCCTTTTCCTTTCATGGCCTCAGAAGAACCCGAGCTTCTCTCTACAGGTAGTCCTTGAGTTACGGCCGCAATGGAGCCCCAAATTTCTATGGCTAAGCGAGACAGTTCTTAAGCTAATTTTGCCCCATTTTACGACTTTTCTTGCTATGGTTGTTAAGCGAATCACTGCAGCTGTTAAGCTAGGAACACAGTTGTTAAGTGAATCTGGCTTCCCCAT